TAGTGGTGATAAAGCTTAAGTCAAATCGGTTAACGAACAATTCGGATAGCGATCATCCTCGTTGAACAGACTATGTTCATTAAACGAATACCCACTGTAATGTTTCAAAAATATGATGGAATGACAGTATTATTATATTTTTCAAGACTAGAACTGTAAAGAATTATTATACATTTTTGTAGAATTTATTAAGTATTATAGTTGAAAATAAAATTGATTAAATTCTCCATATGTTGTAGAATCATAACAAAATAGATATGAATTTTTCAGCACTACATACATAAATTATGCACAACTGCATGAATGAAGCAAACTTATATAACACACACACACGAGGCGCGGGATAGAAATAAAAAGCGTGTGTGTTAGTTTTATTTTGTGTTCGTTCGTTCTTGCGCAAATAAAATGTTTTATTCAAATATATTTTGTTTACGTAAGGCAAATAATTGCCTTGCATGTCTGGCAAAATAATGTCATGTTTATTGTATATGTCGTTGCTGTGTCGTATAATACACATATATTTCTATATACAGCGAGAGATATACCTTCGGTTGTATTTTTTTTTTCGCTCCACGTCCCCAAGGACTTGACTTATTGATCCTTGGTTGCCGCCGCCGCCATCGTGGCATTAGCCGTCTCACCGCCCCCGCAGCAATAATGTTGCCTGGCAACGCAACCGCCCCTGGCTTTGGAGGGCTTTGCGCAAAATCTGCGCCAACAAAAGGGGATGGTTGGGCGAAATTGCATCCGCACGAAACTGGAACTGAACATGATACGAGTGATATATGGTGGTGTTTCGCTCCATTCATCCGATCGAGATGAATCTGCAAGGAAGATTAAATGCTTGCTCGCTGGCTTCGTTCTACTTTCATTCTTCATTTTCCACTGAAATTAAAAACTAACATTAAAAAAAACTACATTGTTTAAATTTATAATGAACATATTGTATGAAATACCTAGATATTTCATGGCTTCATGCTTGGTAGTTAATTTAAAAATATTTATATTAATTTATATTTTAGTTACTAGTACAAAAGGGATATGAAATTTCATTTTGTCTACCTTTCGTCGTATTTCTTCAAACAGAAAATTATCTATAATTGTAGACAAAACAGATTCTATTCCATTTTGCACTTTAAAAAAGATTGTACTGCAAGTACATTCTTCAGAGAATTGGTCTGTTCATTCCGCAATATACTGGTAGATATTGAATAAAATAGAACAAAAGTTCAGAGGATAATGCTTTCAGAAGCACGCAAAATGCATATGGGAGAGTTGTATTTTAATATTAAGCGAGTACAAAGAAGTGCTTTTATATTACGATTCATGAAAAAGAACTACAAAACTCCCTAAAGGAGTACAGTTTAAGATAAAACTTATGTAAAGATTGGATATTAATAACTCAAGCACAGCACATTTTTCACTTTATTGATTTAATATTTATTTGTATTTTTGTTATTATTATTATTAGCTAATTACACTATTATATGGATTAACTAGATAAAGTATAAAAAAAATGTAATGGATATTCTATGAAATAACTAATGCTTTGCAAGTAAGTTTCATAAAATAAACGAGATTATTTAACTCGACTTTATTTGTACTTTGACATGTACAGTATATAATATTACATGATGTTAGCATAAATGAATACGTAATATAGCTCTTATAAATGTAATGTAAAACATCTGAAAACTCTCATATTTTTAAAAATTATACAGTTAAGCAAAATATTCACTCCTTAATTATTAGACAAATAATTCAATATTACATTTATACATGACTTTACCAATAACTTCGATATTTGAATAACATATCACAATTAGTTCCCTTTAAGGTTTGCTTTAACATATTATATAATAAATTGTATTATTATATGCAGCAAATATTATATGTGAATTTATTTTTCAATGTCCATTTAAAGAAACTGGGTCTCTATTTGTGCTATATAATTTAATAATAATATATGTATCATATAACCATAAACATCAAACATGAATAATTGAACGAAACAAGAAATTGCAATTCTTGAAATATAATTGTTTTGTTTTTTCTCTTAGAAACAAAAACATATAATAAATTATATAAAAAATACAATTATCATCAATATTTTTCAATGTTAGTACAATTATTTTTTTCCATTTGACATGTAAAAAATAGAAATTATAATTTTATTCTAATTAAAAATGATTCGTGTTTACGAGAAAATTTCAATATTCATCAAAATTATATCAGATTTCTCACGTAAACATGTAAATTGTGTTCGGAAAACTTTCCATAGATCTTTCAGGATAAAATATTTACATTCATGAACGTTGATAACAAATAATGTTATATGATATGAAGATATAAATTATATATTTTTTTATTACATAATGGTATCAATTTTTATGACTACTTCGCAACAATTGAAAAAGTTCAATATATTAAGCAAAATAACTCACATCAATACCATTGTCTCAAAGAACATTTATTAATTTTTCGTTATTGTATCGAAAATAAAATAAAATTAGAATTTCTTTAATTTTTAATACTTTGATGAAAAGTCTTCCGTCATTTTTACGTTGTTTCTAGACTCCTGAAAATAAACTTTTAAACAAGGATGAAATCATCGCAAACACTCGATTTTCAGTTTTCACGTAAAATGTATTTCACGTGTATATGCAAGTTATTTCAGCAGGTAACACAGGTGTCCGCAGATCAAAGGAATGCTCAAAATTTATGAACCATTCAAACCAAATCTACTAATATCGCTTTTACTGTGAAAATTTTACCTGTGAGAAAGAATAACACCCTCAATAAGTACTTTACTTCAGGACAATAATCAAAGTAACTATTGACAAATTGCAGACAATTGTTAAGTACAAAACAAAAGATTAATATTCATAGAAGCTTAGAATAAAAAAAAAATAACGTTCTCAGTCAAACTTTTAAAGCAAATTATTTTATTTTTACTATTAAAATGACTTTAGTAACGAAGTCCAAAGAATTTCTTATACAAAAATGTACATACAACAGAAAATCAATACCTTAATCTTGTTCATTTTTAAAGATATTTTATAAAACAACGATGTGTTGGATTAATCAAGAAAAGTAAATTAGAATACTGTAAAAAAATATATCTTCCATTGAGCGAATCAATGTTTCGTATATATCTATCAACAATTTCTGTGATTATTGAGATTAATTCATATATTACTCAATTATAGCATGTTGCATGGTTATCAATAATAACGAATAAACATAAATAAATATATAATTATTATTGATATTTATGGTTGGCGTACGTCTAAATCCAAATTGAAATTGTGTTCATTTACAACGGTGTAGTTTGTTGAATGATTAATCGAGAATGGCGTTCTGTCTTGTAAGCCGAGTGTTGAAATCGAAATAAATTTCTATAAACAAAACGCGAGTGTAAATAAATGCTTATGCGATTGTAATCTGTATACTTGATTAACGTGCAACTAAAGACTGCATAATAAGCAACAGGAAATATCGCATTCAACCATGATTTCTAGCCAGTTTATTTGTTTTGGCAAAGAAAAATAAATAAACAAATATTTTAGAAAGATGAACACAGAGCTGGTAAAAGCCAGGGTTCATTTCGGGTTCCCTAATCCGTGGATTTGAGGTCTCTTTTCCACCATCCCCTCTGCAAGGATTATTGATACGCTGTGCATCGTCAACCCCTCGTCAGCGTTTCTGCTGCGAGCTTACAACCGTATTTACAAACGATTAAGTTGCTCGAATCCCAACGCTCATTATCTCAATGTTAATCTGCAAGTTTTGACCGAGGAGATGATGTATGTTCTGGGCTTCCTTTGGGGGTGGTTTTCTAGGGAAGACTGAGTGTACAGTCGTCGTCGTCGTGAGTCAGATTGGGGGAGCGCTATCACAGATATGGCTTAGTTCCGGTCCTGCACGCGGCTCGAGATGTTCCGGTCACGTGGCCGGATCTGCAAATGCTGACACGTGGCTACATCAACCCCCTACATCCACACGCAACGAGAAACATTCTCGATAAACACACTTTGCCAATCGATAGACATTGTTTGAGCACTCCATTTTAACTCGTGTATAATGTTTCTGCTCTTCCAATACAGCTGCACCACGCCTTTTACAATAATTCCTTACAATGAAGTTATATCGTGGGATACTCCTTCATTAATTAGAAATGATGTATTCAATAGGCAAGAAGTTATTTAGATATGAATGTACTCATATAATGCAAAAATGTAAAAAGCTTTTATTGTTTAGTTCAATCTTTATATTCTGATAGAAGTTTGCATTTTTTATTATACGTTGAAAATACTCAAAGCATCTTTTTTTTTGTTATTAATATGCCATATTGTACCAATTCAGTTTACATTACATATATTAGTTCATTATTCTCATATGACAGAATCTTCATTATTTAAAATCATTTTCATATATTGTTGTTCAATTTATTTCATTAATTGTAAGTTTATATGAGGAAATATAAGCCTCCCATAGTACGGTATCCTACAACACGATTTTGCTCTAACACGATAAGCTTAACTACGAAAACAGTACGGTTTTGTTCTAGCAAGATTCGAATATTTCTATTTCTGTTTTATTTTAGTTATAAATCTGAGATAAGTAGTTATGTATGCTTGAAATCTGCAGATTTTTTAAGTAATTCCAAATGTCTCCGCTGAACATTTCTTTTATAAATTAATTTTCTTTACTTCATAAAGTTATTGTATTCAATAGATTTTTTACAATATTATTTCTATGTACATTTTTAAGTATTTCGTAATGAAGTTATTAACGTATGTTAGTATTTCAAATTAAGTTTAAATATTACTAAAAAAATAATTATTTTGGAATATAATTCAATGTCTTGTAACTAGAAATATTTTATAGTATTACAAAACGGGATTTAGCATAATATAAAGCTACAATTAACACAATGGACTTGCTGTGTAATTTATACTTATGACTATTATCATTGACGTTTAGATGTCAAATTGACATTAACATATTTCGGCTGAACCATCAAAATTTCCGTTATTAAAAATGTGTTGCAATCCCCCTGATTGTCCTTTGCAAGTGGACTGCAACGGTTGCTTCAATTGCGACGAAATACCCAAAGTGAAGGCTCGTTTCGGGTTGGCATGGGTGGCAGAGTCTCCGGATTGTCCATGCCCGGAGCCAATTGGATGGCAGGTGGAGTTCCTGGACACCCCTTCGAAAGTAGAACAGAAGTGCCAGGAGATGGTTCGATGGGTAAACTGTCCTCCACTTCCACGCTGCGATCCGTGTCCGCCGTGCGAACTCTGCTGTAGCCCTTGTTGTCCATCGCCCTGCTGCCTTCCGAACGGATGCTGTCCCCCACCAGGATGTTGTCCACCCAAAGGTTGTTGCCCACCAAAAGGTTGCTGTCCACCAAAAGGCTGCTGCCCACCAAAAGGTTGCTGTCCCCCAAAAGGCTGCTGCCCTAAACCCTGTAACCCGTGCAATCCTTGCAACCCGTGCAACCCATGCAACCCGTGCAATCCATGCAATCCTTGCAACCCGTGCAATCCTTGCAATCCCTGCAATCCGTGCTGCCCCCCGAATCCTTGTAATCCCTGCAACCCGTGCTGTCCTCCGGCCTGCTGCTACTGCAAACCAAAAAAGTGCTGCTGCAGCGCTTGCAAACCGAAGAGGAAATGCTGCAGATCGCCGAACCGGAGCTGCTCATAAACAACCAAAACGAACCAAAATTTAGTGCCTTCCTATGTAGATTTACTTGTGTTCTAATATACGTTTATTGTAAAATGGAATTACAAGTGGTTTCTTCGAAGTCGAAATCTCGACTGGACGAAAGGAGGGAACGAACGAACGAATAATGATGAGAATCTATCTAAAGCGAAACCCGTTTTAATTGCGATCGCGCTCTCGCATATACAACCTTCCGAGCACATCGACGGACAAATTACAGTTAATTAATAAAATATATTTGAGAGCAGTAAAAAGAAGCAGTCATTTTGCCTTCAATTAAAACATACCAAAAATGGTTCGAGCTAACAAGTTCCGTGAATGTTTTCGCTCGGGCCTCATCGTTAGTGTTAATTATTGCCTAGTACTTTTCATATTTATACACACATGGAATCCGTTTGGAAAATGTCTCAATAAAACAAAACGAAACAGAAATACAATAAAAGAGATATATATTTTGCATGCATTATTCACGAGATGAAAAACGATCATCGGATCGCCTAGATTCGCATCGATGCAAAGACGTAAGCATTGTTTTTTTTTCTGCTTCATTTCTAGATGATGGTATGCCATCACATCGATATAAACTGTTAATGATTAATGATACGAGTGTCAACTTGCGAATGATAAACATCATTCTGCACTAATTTGATATTTCTAGTACAGCAATTACTTTCTACATCAACAGTTTATGCATTTTATTACAAACACATTATTTCAAATTCTAATTAGTCTTGAACTATTTGTTAAGTCATTTAAATAAAACGATATATTCATACAATTAATTTATCTTAATAAATTAATAAAAGTATAAATGACACTGCTTTATAAAGGTCATTTTGGTAGATATTAGCAGTAGCCTAGTTATTGGGTGTATTGGGTGTACTCTGGCCCACAAAGGGGGCTCATAGAATATAAACAAGTTAAATTTTTAATCAAAGACACTTGAAAACTAAGACAAAAGCTTTCACGAAAGCCAAATTTTATGGGGCCCTCAAATTCAAATATCAAAAATAAAAATTTACAAATTCAATTCTTGTTATGCCACCACCATAATATTTTATTCACTAATCACTAATTAAAAAAATACTACTTTTCTTTTAATTAATAATAAAGAATGCACTGTAACAATAATGGTATTTTTCAAAATTATTTGTAATTTTATCTGTCATTCATTAAATAAAGAAAGGTGCTTATGAAGTCATGGGAACTACACACACACATATAAAAAGAAAAGAATTTGAATTTCTCGGAAGAAATAAATGTAACTGGATAGGAATATTTGGGATATTTGTGTCTCCGTGTTTTCAAAATAATTTAGTTATAAAGTGTATTGCATTCCCACATGCACTTTAGCGCAGCGAGATTTAAATGGTTTGATAAACCTGAAGGCAAAGACCACAGGACAATCTAGATTACACGGAACGCATTAAACAAAAACATAATCGTCCGTTATCGTCTAACTTTATACCTTCACTATGCGCTTAATCCTCGCTCTCTCCGAGTACTTACAAATTACTTAAGGCACTGCTGACATTTCCGCCCATAATTATTACCTTCCACTTGCAATATGTAATCTTCAGATAAAAGTCATTGTTTTCAGTTGATGAAATATTAAGATTTTTTTTTGATAAAAATGTTATTAGACCTATTTATTTATAGAAGATGATTTAAACAGTACTATTCCAATTACGTACTTTTTTCTGACTATTGATTTGTTTCAATCATTTAGATTTAGTATTTAAGCTTAATTAGATATAAATTCAAATCTGCTTTAAAGGATTTGAAATACTTATTTCATTTAAATGTTGTCTTTTGCAAAGAGTAAATAAATGAAATATTGTTTTAAATAACAAAATATCAGAGTAAAATATTTTGATTTTCGATTTACTATAGCAAACTATGAATGTAGTAGAACATTTTCGATTTTAGGAATTTTGTTATTTAATCTCGAGAAAATGAAAATATTCATCTTAAAAATTACCGAGAAAAACCCGGAAATGATCATCTAATTCATTTCATTTCTGTAGAAATGAGAAAATTTCAAATAAAATAACAATTAAAATAAACTGAAGGATTTGTTTTTCCTGTTATTAAAAGCTTAGCTTAAATTTGTTGAGGCTTTGTGTAAATGTCTAAAAATAATCAATGATTAATGATGATTATTCTAATGGAAGTTTGGAAATATTCAAAGTATTTATATATTTTTTTGTAGAATGAATCAAGTTTGTTGTGTGTAATCTAGAAAGGAACTAGTGAATGGTTTCCTGGTAGGTCTTTTATCTTTCCGTTTAAAAAGCAATTTCCTTATCGGAAATTGGTTCCTAGTAAGCACGCAAAATGCATTTATTTAGCCGCTTCCTACCATATACTACCGGTTTTTTTTTCGTTGTTCGCTTGTTCTGTGTTTAGTTTATTGCATCTGAGCGGCCAGCGTGCTTGGGATTTTCGCTAGCTTCGGTCATTGAAAAAATTCCGAGCCACATCCTGTGTGGATTATGGGAATAGGTGTATTTGAATGGGCCATAAAGACACCTGCAAGAGGCTCCTTTTTTTTTCTTCTTCTTTTAATTCTCCTCCTCAACTTTCCTCTGCGTCTGCCTTTGCGTCTTCGGTACTGGCTCGACTCCTTTAGATTTCGGGATCTCTTTGTGCGCATCCATGGGGGGTTGGCGCCTTACCCGCAATCATAATACGACCGTAACAACAACACAGGTGCAGTCGTCCCATTAATGTTTCGGACGTGTTACTCAATTACTCACTCGGTTTTCATATTAAACACATACACTTTTTCTTTTCTCTTTCCTTTTTATCATTCCCTGCTGTACCTTCCCAGACCGAATTTTTCGTTTTGTTCGGATCAGGTGCGTCACATTCCTCAACCTTTCTTCATCTCTTTTTTTGTGTTTGTTCCCATGCCCTCCCCGTACACAATGCATCCAGATTTAACACTTGCGACTTACCTATCTAATAGACCGCATTGCATTTAATTTTCCTATACCATTACTTTCTTTCTCACATCTATTTATATTACCCACGTAACATCTACATACCTTTACTACAATTTACCTTTTAAATATAAAATCTCTTGAATCTACAACACAATAATATGCAAACCAATTAAAATAACTATAATAAACTGAAGTATTTCATTAGAAATCACAGCAAAATCCAAGCCTAATTATAAAATTGAATAATATGTATTTTTGTTTGTTTATTATTTGATTAAAGGTTTGAATAAAATATTGGAAGAAAATAAGAATATTATTCTAAAAAAACAACAACAAATTCTTATATTAAAAACATTTAATTAACTTTAATATTATTTTTTTAAAAATATTACTTTTTATTGTAACGTTTTATTTTATTACTGTTACAAAGTAGTTGAATATTTTGTTATAAGATTAAGTATATAGATAATATATAATATTGTATATTTTTATCTTCGATTTAATGTGTAAAAGCTTAGCATAAAATGTATATGTTTCTTTACGATATTCTGTTAACCGTTATCTCGGAGATGAAATTACTTGGGCTCATCAACACAAGGCATATTAAATTATCACTTTTATGTGCAAAAAATTATGTAAATATTTTTTGTTTGCAATTTTACAGCGTATGCTTTTTATTAAATTTAATAATAAAGACATTTATTTGCATATTGGCATAACATTATCATCATACATTATGTTAAATGAATAAAAACTGTATAAATTGAAGACTTCCTGGTTCAACGTGATCAAAATGTATCATATTTATTGATGAATTTTCTGTACTTATGGTTCTGAGGGACATAGTATTTAAGCTTTTATAAATATGTTAGTAGGATTTCCCGTCCGGATATTTTTAAGATTTTCTCCCTTTTCCCGAGAAAAAAAAACAAAATTCTCGGGAAAACCTCGTTACATTAAATCAATATTATTTATTGGAAATTATTTGCCAAAACTATGTTAGACAATCACAATAAACAAATTATTTACATTTGAAAGTATAAAAAAGATGTAAAACTTTTTTGAAGTAACGTTAGATTTATAACAAATATATATTATTTCTCAATAATACAATAGAAATCACTTTAAACTACTTAAAAATTAAATGGGTATCGGTAAATCTTCATATTTTGTATTGGTTTTGAGTAGAATGGGCTTTGTTAAATTGGGGTAAGGGGCGCATTCGTCCATCATCTTTTTTTCGAGGATTAGCTCAAGTGATTTGCAAAGTTGCTGACAAACGACTTCATAGATCTTTCCCCATGATTATTTTCTTAATCTATACAATTTTCTACTTCAGTTATGCTATTTTATGAAATTTTAATAGTTTATTTATTTTATAATAGAAATTACTATTTTATAAAATATACTTTGTTTTTTTCTTCAATTCATTTTTTTTAAGACTTATTTTTTTTAACTTGCAAGCAAATCAACCAACTTAATTATGTATTTTGAATAGTGTAATAAGTAGATAAGAGTTCTAAGTAAGTATTTTGGAAACTAGACGTGTTTATTTTGGAGATATTTATTTAATAAAATTGAATTACTGAACATAAACTACTTTAGTGAGAAATATTGTACTTTAAGTTCAATTAGATGGTGTATTATATTTAAAATAAATAAATCTTTGCACAATCTCACTGGGCAAGGCTTGTCTCAAGGTTCTCTACTTTCGTCTAATCTGTATAAAATCTTCGGTCCAGACGTTTATTGCTTGAAAGGATCAGACCTAGACGTTGTTTACTGAATAGCGTACGTTCTAATTAACATTATGATAATATTGAAGCACTAAACATTGGATTCCAACTAATGGTTATGTAAGTACTCGAGCTATACTTCTCTAGTAATATATACAAGTATTTGCGAAGAAGACTTTGAATTTAGTGAAAGATTACCTCATTTGGATTGTCGTCTAGGTGGAACTACTAATGTAATTTATCATATAAAAAGAATTTGCAACATGGTAGCCAACATAAAATAATAAAAAAAATGTTGTTTACTGAATAGAGTACGTTCTAATTAACATTATGATAATATTGAAACACTAAACATTGAATTCCAACTAATGGTTTTGTAATTACTCAACCTATACTTCTCAAGTAACTTCTACAAATAATTACCTTAATTGGATTGTCGTCTAAGTGGAACTACTAATGTAATTTATCTTATAAATAGAATTTGCATCATGGTAAAATAAAAAATAGATCATGTTTAAGGATATCAGTAGTATTCTATTGAATATAGTTGAATATAGATATAGATTTGTTTTTAAATAAATTACAATGAATGGGGTAGAAAATTTAACTGAAGTTATTTTTATATAAATAAGTCTATAACAAATACATTCCTTTATAAAATGTATAGAAGCGTAAGAATTCGTTAAACCATAAATGAAAACATTACTGTTAACTATGCATAAATATTTTCATTCATAAGAACTAATATCCATTAAGACTAGATTTGCAGGTATTGACTATAAAATATATAATCAGAATAAAATAAGTTATCACAGTTCTTCATTTTTTTTTTTATGAAATTGGCTACTTTCAATAAATATTATATACAATATAGAAATTAAACATATTAAGTCAGAAAAGTGTCAAATTGAGAAAGAATGTTGTGTATGTCTACAACTATTTGAAAACAAGATTAGTTTTGGAAACACGTTTTGTCATAAATATATACATAACGGTTCTTTGGAAGAGAATCGTATATTTGTAGAATATATGTTTTTAAGTATCGATAAATGATATGATTAAGTATTGCATATAACATGTATTTCTTATAATTTAATAAATAAATAAATAGATCAGAGTTGTGAGTAAGTACTTGGGAAATTAGATGTGTTTGTTTTGGAGAGTATGCTTATTTCATATTTATGTAACATAGCATTGGAAATGAATTGTAGGAGTTGTTAGTGTACTCGTACAAGTACTTGCGTAAACAATATGTGTTTGTTATGGTGAGCGTGCTTATTTCATAAATATATGTAACAATATATTGGAAAGGAATCGTGGAATTGTAGGATGCATGGATGGATGTAAGTTGTGAGTGGGTGAGAGATCTTGGCGAGATGTGGCCTAAGGCCAGCCGGGCAGGCAGCCGAGCCAAAGAGAGGTTCACACGGTGGCCAAGCTTAGCTTTGCAGGTGTGCGCCAGACTTGCCGGCGCCTCCAATCTCAATCTCGCCGCATTCCTCCGCTACCTGCCCTTGTGTCCACCTCTCACCCATCGACATCACCTCACCATCGACCACCTAACAGAACCACACCGAGCCAAGCCACAACACAACACAAACCGGCCAACCTGTGTGCACCCGAACCCACTTTAAGCTCAATCCTTCCAACATTTACATATATTTTCACTTACTCTACCTTTCCAGCGCACAAAAAGAAACTCTGTCTACTTTCAATCAAACCACCAACTACAGATAGATAGGTGGTTATCAATTAGAAATTACAGCCACATTCCTTCCTCGGTATCCATCATTTTACAACAATGAACCTACAGTTATAACATCTCCGAAGAGAAATTTCTACACAATAACGTCATACGTTCTTATTCCCATTTCATAAATCTTACAACAACAATCCTCAATTATACAAAATACATACATATTTCTATTCATTTTTTTGTTTAAAATACATATTTTCTATTATTCTTATGCAAGATTGGATTAATATACGCATAATTTCTAACATATTAAAAATAATAACTAAAGCATTTGCATGATTTCTTAATTAATTGTTAAGAAAAAAAAGTACAGCACATAAAATAATCATATTATTACAAATATGACATCTTTATCATATCAATGTTTTCACTCTTCTTCAGTTTTCATTAGTTTGCATAAGTTCTAATTAACAATTCAATTATTTCTCAATAAATTAAATCAATTAAACTAGTTCTAAATTATTTTTTTTGTGATTTCGTTCTTGCATCCAAGTATAAATCAAATAAAGTGCTTTTGACATATTTTAAATTTGATTTTCTTTATGGAATCTTAAATTAAACCTACAATTTTAATTAATATGTATTTTTATTCTATAACTATAAACATAATTTATTGTAACACAAACATACATATTTTATATATATTTTTATTTATATATAATAAATGTAAATAATAATTATTTAAAACCTTCGACATTCCTTGACCAAAATCCAATTTAAAGTATCTCAGAACCGCTTTACAATATTTATCAGTTCTCATAAAAAAAACAAATATACAAAACCGGTTTCACAATTATTTAAAATATATATTTTATTTACCATGAATATTCGCCCAATTTTGTATAACTAAATAATAGATCATTTTACCAAACAAACAACAATTTTTTGCTAATTTATATATTTTTATATGCATTTAATGTAAATTTAATAATTACATAACCGATTTATTTTAAATAATATATTATAATAATTAATTGAATTGTGTGCAATACTTGAATGTTAAAGTATTAACTGTGACTCATTTAAAACCATAGCTCAACAATTAATTGATTAGTCATTAATACAATTACTTTTGTTGGCTCTTCTTGGAAGAAACTTATTGATTCAGTGATTGGTGGTTATTATTTTTATACATCATTCATTATACGATATTTAAAACAAAGAAATTACCACAAAACGTGTTTTTTTTTTGTTCGATAAAATTAGATTTTTTTCTTCAT